GAAACTGTTCTTGTCAAAAAGCCGACTTTCATCGTTCATTGAGATAAAAAAGATATTCAGTTTAATTTTCAATTTAAAAAGTAAAGTAGTGATAAATTTTAAGAATAGGAAACGCTAAACTGCCAAGGAAAAGATTCATATCTAAAATTGACTCGAAAAATTATTCAGCAAAAAACTCTTTTAAGTACGATTTAACTTAGAGCTTTAATGAAGTTCGCGAACAGCTGTGAAAATAAATTCAAAACAAGTTGAAATCTCTTTTCTTTTGAAATCCAAGGCTCAAGCATATCGTTACTCTTTCGAGGTTCTGAAATGGATTTTATAAAAACCTGAGTTTAGACAACCGTCGTTATTTCATATGAAGTTTTTAAGCTAATTGAAAGATTCTTTTTCCGTTACCAGATACTTCTTAGGTTGGAAAATTCTAAGTAAACTCTTAATGTTGAGTTTCGTTATGTATATAGAAAAAATTCCACGATTTTCCTCGCTTTTATAAAATTTTTAGGTTTTGCGTTGTCGTGGAAAGTACCTGCAAGCTCTCGATCTAATTTTTCTACAAATAATAAATAATTCTCTCTCTTAAAGCATGGCAAATATTTCATCCGGGATGAAAAGCACAGCAGTTCAAGTAAAAAACTGTTTGTCGGTTTAGAGGGAATATTTCGAAAACGAAGAATGTTATGATCCGCCGCCCTCGGCAGATCATAAGAGTCTGTTCTTGTACCATTCTTGCGCAATTCTGTTATTGCGCAACTCTTGTTTTTCCTTACGCAGTGTGTTTTCCCAACTCTTTCTGATCTTACGCAACTCCTGCGCAATTCTTGCACAACTCATGTTCAACTTGTGTGTTATACATAACCGTTCACTTTGTGAAATCAAGAGAAGTGAGTGAGTAGAACATCACAAAGAAAAGCATTGAAAGAATTTAAACTTACAAAAAAAGCAAAAAAAGGGAGCAGTTCATAATTTTATCCTTATTTGCTTGCATTTCTCTGGTTCAATAAAAGAATAAAATGGTGCATTCCGGAAGAAAAATTTTGTTGGCATCCTTGGCTGTCTACCATAACGCACTATCACAATTGCTCTGTATACACGTGTTTTTTTGTAGTTTGCGTTTTTCCTATATTTATTCAGCAAAAAATGGAACCACTAATTACGAACCTTGACGGTAATTGCCTTTACAATGCTGTTAAAGTATTGATGCCAAATTTTGAGGCAAGTCCTATTAAACTTCGAGTTCGAGCAAATGTTGAATTGGCAGTAAAATTGAAAGATTACCAGCAAACATACCCACATTGTACAGATTTCATTGATCCATTTCCTCAATATCAAAGAACAGAAATGATCTACGATAAGAACTATTCTACATTATGGGAGATTTTAGTACTGTGCAATATTCTTCAATGCTCGATCCGATCTGTTTATCCAAAGATTAAAGAAGATGCTGATGATGCTGGAATGTCATATCTTCTTAATAAAACATTTCATCCTTTTTCAACAACTAATCCAACAAAGTCAACCTCAACAATCACTAATGTGGACACATACAGCTGAAGAGGATACTGTACGTGCAGTTAATTATGGTATGTGGGTACCAAATCATTTTGTTCCACTAGTTTATCATTATGACACAAAATCATTGTTTAAAATTGAACGGCATCCACCACCGGTTAGATGCTTCAAAATTTCTTCCAATCCTGCTCCGTCAGATGACATACGCACAGTGGGCATTTTTCTATAGAGCAGGCGGACATATGCTGTAGGAGTGGTATGAAAGCCTATAAACACGTTCTTCTATAGGTTTTCGAATATGCTCTTTCTAATGATGAGATTTTCGGTACTCAACAGTCATTCCTCGTGGGTTTTCTGAAGACCGGATCTCTGGAAAACCCATAAAAAATATTTTTGCATTTCAAGAACCTCACTAATCGAAAGATCATATTCAAAAACCTATAAAAATGTGCTTATAGACTTGTGTACTGTTGCTAAAATAAATATCCAAATTCCTAAGCAAAATTTGCTGCGGACAAGCTTTCAAGTCTATAATTCCTTTGAAATTGCGTACCATAATTGAGTAAGCAAAGAATCTTTATTTCGTATGTAGTAACGATATCCGTAATCGGTTTTGTGTACCGTGATTTCTCGTCGTAGGAACTATTTTCAAAACAGATATTTATATACCATTCGATAGCCCTTTGAAAGGGCTACATTTTCCACTATTTGTATTTGAATTAGGAACAACTTCAATTTTTCACCTAATTTCCGCCTGAATGCGAACTGTGATACGGGTATTTTTCAAGTTCAATTTTGTTTTTGAAATGAATGAGATGAATCGGAAAAAATTGTTTTTTTTAAAGCACTTCCAAAACAGAAATTTAGCTTTCAGTCCGGAAAAAAAATTATCATCTTAATCATTAGTCATTTCGGAAATTTGTGTGATATTGAGATGATTTTAAATGATATTTTTTCTTCGGCCTCTGTTAAAAACAAGTAAATATAACCCAACAGAAAGAAGAATTAGAACACCAACATTTGAATCATCAAACGTAAACATTGTCTTCATTTTTATACAAATCAAGATTGAATATATGTTTACTATATTTTTTAGATACCCGCAAAACGCACTCGTTTTCAAAGTGATATTTTTTCTGGTGTCGTAAAAGTAAGTGCCCCCATGAATAAAAAGTGTTCTCTCAAGATTCTACTCCAGTAAATCCCACAGTGCAAAGTAGAAGACTTTTGCTTAATGATCACTGAAAAAGAAAGGAAAAGCCATATTGTCCAGGAAAATGCAAACTGATCGAGAAAACTCTTAAAAAAGTAAATCTTCGCGATTCATGTTTCTCTAATAAACATAATTGGAAGATCAAATCCTGATAGTTCCACGCATGACCTGTGAAACTTTTGGACATCGATTTCGACATTTTTTTGAAATGTCATATTTTTACCGATATCGATAATGTTGATTCTGCTCATTGAAAAACAAGACAAAAAGCTGTAGTTCGTTATGGTGATTGTATATATGAAAAGTTTTACATTTCTGGCGGTCAGGCCATTTTGAAAAGGACATCAAAATATGAAGCTTTTAAGAATTTTTTGTTTATGACTCGGGGAAGGATCGTGCCCTAAGCAAAAGGTTTCTACTTCCATCAGACTTACTAGGTTAGCGTTAAACCTTTTTTTCTTTCTCATGATTGTTAAAAAATACGAATTTTTAAATTACTCTAGGGAGATACCGATGAACGAACATTAAGAATTAACATTGAACTTTATTAAGAAAGATGAGACTTTAAAAGACAATACAATGATTAAAGACCTTGTTAGAAAGTCATTAGATAGTTTGAAAAAGACTTCCCAAGTATGTGGCAAAGAAATTTTACAGAAAGAAGTTAAAAAGAAACTTAATAATTTAATATCACATAAAATTGCTTATGCCAGAAAACATCATCAAACAAAATCTGCCAGCTGGTCACAATATTTGGTAAAGATATAAACCGTAGAGACTTCTGCGGGTTTGATGATAGAACTCCAGTCAATAAGTGGAGAAAAAATATATGTGTTACGATTTCCGATGTGAAAAATTTCCGTTCAGATTCAGTTATTAATAATTTCGAATCCTGGTATAATCGATACGATCGATTCCAAAAATCCAATTTTATGGTTTCGTGTTGCACAGGATAGAACATGGCTTGGAAAGCAACTGGTGTACATGTCATGCAAACGATAAAGATAATTTTGATAGCTATTCTGCTTTCAATCCTAAAGAAAATGCGGTGAGTTTCATAAAGCATGCTGAAGAATAATTCTGCCGTTTAAATGTTTATATTTTTCATATTGTAGAGAAATCTAACTCAGCATTACTACAGTTTAGCAAAACAAGAGAAACGGTATATGGAAAGACCACTCTACGAAAGTTATTTCAAGTAAGGATTTAGTATACTTCAGTAGTTATAAATTCATTTTTTTATTCTTACCTGTACATAGGTAATTTTTTCACAACAAAATACCATCGAAAAAGAAAACCAACATATTATGTTAGTCATACATTATAAAATTAGGTGCAAGCTCCGCGTCGGACCAAACTTTATGAAACTAAGGTGGTATATGCAGAATTTCAAGGCGAATCCGACAGCGGGCTTCTTATAACTACATCTTGAGTTTTTCATGTGTCGCCACAGTCACTACGATTTCTTATAGTGAATTTAGGCTGTTTTTCTGTTCTGTCACTTTTTTTCTTCGCTCTTTTCTCCTTTCCATGCGCACATTTTATCTGTTTTTTTCTTTTATATAGGCAATACATTCGACCATCGAATAACAGATAGAACAAAATTTATTGTAAGTTTAGGTTCTTTTAAATAAACGCCTGAAAGTTCAAATCAAGCAGAAACAGTGATAAACTCAATTTTTACATGGAATTATCATCTATACCATTTTTAATATTTTCCTTTATCAAAGATAATTGCTCATACAACTTTTTTGTATGAGCAATTACCTTTGATAATTGAAATTCTTGAAATTCGCCTTGAAATTCTGCATATACCACCTTAGTTTCGTAAAGTTTGGTCCGGCGCAGAGCTTGCACTTAATTTTCTAATGATTATTTTAGGCTTCATATTAGGCTATATTTTCTGTTTCCGAAAAAGAGCTGCACAGCCATTCCACGTAAGGGTCCACCCGAGTGGCCAACGATGAAAAGTGTTCTGGACACAGACTAATAGCGCCATCTTGTAAAGCATATTTCCTTACGTAGAAAAGAAGTGTTTTCCTTCTCGAAATATATCACATAATAGAATTGTAAACAAAAGAAGAGTTGGACGATGACTCCTCATTTCTTACCATATGTCATACACATTTTCATTTTCATCCTGGAGCAGTCACTTTGAGATCTGTGGCTGTCCGGGATATCTCATCTGAAAGAGGGCAAGCTATACTAGGTCCTATAATGCTTTCCTATTTTACAAAGTCTTTTTACTACTTAGACGAACGATGAAAAAACTTGACCAATTCTCGCGTAAGTTTGTTACGAAAATAGGATATATTGACATTTTCTCCGGAACAATACCTCCCTGTCGGCACCAAATTTTGTGCAAAGACAACTTTTGACGGGCTATCCAATGCATTTATTGCATTGAACTCAACTCTTTCCTTTCATGAGAAAAAACGTAACGGATTTACGCCAGGTCAGTTGTACAAAAAATATCATCTTGATTTTTTTGCTTTTTTTAAAAATTGTTGATCTGAGATTTGTTTGTGTGTTAGGAAGTTGTTAATAAAAAGACCAGACCATTCTTAGTGGTAGTTTGAACTTCACCTTGGTTAGAAATATAATATTCATTCAAAAAGTAAAAACAAGTCTAAATGTTTGATTCCGAAGGCCAACAAAAAAACTCTTTTCAAGGCTGGGTCTTCTTCAGAAAGTTTATCTAAATTACGTCATTACAGTCAATCTAGCACTGAAAAGAAAACATCCTATAGAAAAGTCTGTTTCAAAAATTCATTCAAGTTATAAAATAGCACCAGAAAACAAGTTATTAGGACTTTTCTTTTTCCATTTAGTTGCGAGAAAAATTTAGGAAAAAATAAGAAGTTTTTTCCGTTATGTATTAGTAATAAGCCACGATCTCTTGAGAGAAAGAGAAACTAGACGACAGAAAGATTATTAATCAAAATTATTCTTTTTCTTAAAACTAATTTATAAAGAAAAGACGAAGACTAGAAAAAGTACAGGAAAGTACTAAGAGAGAGTTGAAGATAAAGAGCTGTATGAAAAAATATAAATACAACGAGAACCAGTGCATATTTCGTTCTGCATTTTTCTGATAGCTTATTTTTTGTTTCGGAAAAACGCAAGCATATTCTGTTAAATTTCATTTTATTCTTTCTTCTTGAGAAAGAGCGAAAATGAATTTTGGGAAGATAAACATGTAATGCTTTGTTTCAGGTAACTTCGTACGTGCATTGTTGCGGTTGTCACATCGCAGAATTCCATCGTGCATATGGAGAGAGCTTAAAAAATTTAGCCTTCAAGGTGTAGAGAAGATAAACGATACGGTTACGATTGATTTTTTTCATTCAACGAATAAACAAGGAGTATTGTTTATGACACAAATTTTACAGAAAAAAATACTTCAAACGCTTCTTACATTGACATTTGGAGTAATGACACATATTTTTGATACGTGGGCAAGTACCTATTTTGAACCACGAGATCCTGATAAAGATGAAGCTATTGAAGATTCCGGTGCTGAAGATGAATCATGGTAAATAGATAATAGTTCATCTTCTTTTAAACTTACTGTGTTCAAGATTCAAACAAAACTGATTATAGTTTGTCGCATATTAATTACTTTTGTTTCATTTTGTTTTTAGGTATATTACTGAATTTTTCATATTTTTTATTACAGCATTTTTAACAAATTAGTATGACGCTTACATGAGTACTGGTTTTTGATTAATCTACGAAAAATATGGCAAAAATGTTGGAAGACTTGACCCATCCAACCCGTCAACAACTTATTCATAATAAATCTGAAGGGCATAGATCTATTTTTGAGCTTATTTTGCAATCTGTCACTTATTGTCTGTTCAGGAATACAGACAGAACATTAGCATCTGTAATAACAGAAACAGAAAATAACATCAATTCCATAAACATTGCTTAAACTTAAAACTCACGCAGTACTTGATTCGCTCATAGACATCATTTTGGAACTAAACTCCGAAAATAATAGCTAACAGCTGGTACATTGTCATTAAAAAAGAAAGCTCATTAAGAATTCCCAAGGAAGAAATATTCTTCTTTCATTTCTCACACTATTTTTATTAAACTCTTTCTGGAAGAAGTGAAACTTGTAGTTAGGCACATTACTCGAAAAGGCGAAAATACTGATATGGGTGAAATGTGATTTTGAACAATACACTTACTCTCAGTCTTGACCTGCTTCTATTAAATGTGACGCTTTGGAAAGAAGACTTTTTATGTATATATCGTGCAGTTATAGAGTATTTGTACTTCGCAACGATTTTCAGAAGAGCACAAAGTTGTTTAGTGTGTGTATATTGTGACATTGAAGTCCACGAAATGTAGAGATTTCTGAAATTTATGTCACTATCGGTGGTTGACGTATATTATGTGTCTGTGCAGACGTAAAGAAGAGAAAAGCGGAGAGGAAAATTTCTTTTATTGAGAAGCTGTAGAGCGATTGTTCCTAATTCGAACCACTTTTTGACTAGTGAAAAGTTTTTAATTCTTGCTCAGAAATTTCTTGGACAACATACATTATTTTTTATATTACAAAGTGTAAAATCGTCTCGCGAGTTCAATGGTGTAAAAAAATTTTAATTATCATCAAAACTGAGTGAGTTCTAACCGGTAGTTTGATAATGAGTCGTCTGGTTCGAATTAGGAACAATCGCTCTATGTGTTATACAATAGAGCTGCAAATAGCGATTTTCTTTTCTTTTTTCTTTTCTATTTTGTTTTCTTATGCACGTTGTATGTAGTGCGTACGAACGTTATATAACGTTCATACACACTATATATAACGTGAATAAGAAAAGAAAATCACTATTTGTGGAAGCTCTAATGTAAGGAAAGATAAAAGCACGCAAGCAAGCAAGGATAAAATTTTCTAAAGTATGAGAAAGAAAAAGCACAAGAAATGTTCTTCTATTACATGTCATCTGAAAAAACAGTTTTTCAGTAACTCTAAAAAATAACCAAAACGTTTCTTAATGAGGCATGATTGTAGCGCGCGGATTTTCGATTAAAATGAGACATCTCCCAGCTCTACACGACCTGTCTTTGCAAAGTTACAGAATTTATAACGAAAACCCTAATTGTTCATTGTCAGCTCAAAGCTACAGAAATAGGAACGGCGTGGCCAGCTAACGGTGCACCTTCGGATGAGAAGGCTCGAATTTTTGTTTTAAATTGAGCAAAGCTTAAAAATACATTGTTAGACGCAGTTATTCATCATGATTACAAATCTGGACTCAAAAACAAATGAAAGTCAAATCTTCGTGGTGATTCGCTTATTTTGTGAGCAATTTTATGCCCGTTTAATTTAACTCTGAAAATTTTGACTGCATGAGATGAAGGGTACCTCAAACTATCTATCTATATGCAAATCACAGTTTGCTAAGTAGTTCTGTGACGGAAAAAATATACACCAAACCATCTGCAAAGAAAAGCAGAAAATGGTCAAAGTCCGTAACGGTCACTTTTATTCGATTTCTTCTGTCCGGGAACTAATTCAAGAATAAGTCAGTAGTGCTTCCGATAGCCCAAACTGTAAGCTTTAATTTGATAATTAAGCAATCATTTTAAAGTTAATTTAAGGCTGAATAATTTACATTTTACTGAAATACGCGAAAAACATTTCCGTTTTTTGAAATTCCGTAGCGGCCTCTATTTTGACTTTTGATCCGCTTGTTCAATAAAGCTCAAGTTATTGCTGGTAGTAGAACTCCCTAATATCCATCATGGGTAAAAAATTTCATTGATAAACGTTGCTTCTTTGCCGAGATAAGGGGCACAGAAGACGAAAAAATGAACTTCTGTAACGTTTGTCCAAGCCGAGAAGGAAAAAATTAATTTACGACGTTTCTTATAAATTCTGTAACTTTGCAAAGAAAGATCGTGTAGAGCTGGGAGATGTCTCATTTTAATCAGAAATTCGCGCGCTACAATCATGCCTCGTGAAGAAATGTTTTGATTATTTTTTAGAGTTTCTGAAAAACTGGTTTTCCAGAAGACCGGATCTTCGAAGGGCTATGGGGAATCCTCATCATCATATTGGGAATTAGTATGGCTAATAACTTATAACCCGCTAGATTTCGATCAAAAGACCATTCATCAGCTCGGGAGGTTCGCTCGTTAGTTCTACTTGCTATGAATATGAAGTCTGAATTAAATTATCTTCTGGTTTCTGGTAAGTTTTTTGAAACCGAGCAGTCTTTAGAAAAAGAATATTTAAAGACTAATTCTAGAGTTAATTGATGTTTTCTTGTTCCATCTGTTAATTCACTCCATAGGAAAAAGTATCAGGTTTTATTCAAAATAAGATTTACAAAAAATAATTTTTAAAAGCTTTTAACAGTTATTCAAAGTTAAACTAAATTTTGACACTGTGAATTATACAGCTTTTTACGCTCTCATTTGATATATTTAATGTAAGAATTTAGTTGAACTTGAACAAAAACTTTCTGTTAAATGAACAAACTTCAGTTTTTCAAGAAGGTAACGTAATTCTAATTTCATATTCATACCAAATCGAACTGAGATATAACTGTCTGATAGTGGAAATTCAATCTCTTTCTGATCTTTGGTTGCTGGAATAATTGAAAGAAAATCGGACTCTTGTAAGTGCGCGAGTAATTGTTTAATCTTCTGCACACATCAAATCCTGTTAAACCGGCTAAACATGTTTTGCTTTTTTTATGTGTTTTAATGTATAATATCTTGTTTATTATCTCAGCTGAAAATAAATTCAAAATTCAAATTCAGAAAACAGGGAGTCGAAAAACCATGGAAAAAAATGTTAATGTTTTTACAGTTGTTTTTGTGACGTATACATCGAAATCTGCTGTTATTTCAAAAGTGCATTGCACTACCTGATCTCGTAAACTAGGCGCAATCAAGCCTGCAGATTCCTTCCATCGTTCTTGTCGTGCCTTCGGTATTCGCAACACTTGAAATTTGAATTTAATACTACACTCCGCAGAATAGGTATGCTCTGCATGTGCAAATAGAAAATAAAGAAAACGTTTGGCGTTAGAAAGCAAACAAAGCTCTTGTTTTTGTGTTCCTGATTCTTCTGGATGTCCATGATGCTAAACTATTTCATTTCAAATGAAAAAAATTCAAACAAAATCCAGGTCGAAAAAAGTCGTTATTTTCGGTATCGGCATTTCGGTATGGATATCGATACCGGTGCATATCTACCGGAGATACGCTGTGAACAACAGAACGAGATAAGAAAAAGAGGAGCATAGTTGCTATTTTTTGTCAAGGACTTCTAATTTCGTTCATTCAACTGCTGTTGTTATTGTCGCATGCAAGAAGTTCATATCAACTACAATAGAGACGGCTTCAAAAGGTTGTTTTGGTATTCCTCTCCAATCTATTACAAGCTCATGTAAGGCATTTGTATTATCCATTGGTTCCACTACCCGACCCCTTTTTTCTTGTGTATTCCACATTTTAGATCTTCTTTTGCTATACGAAAAATAAATAATTAAACCAGCTATTGTCCAAACGCCAAATCTTATTTTTGCCCATTTTGTACTGGAGTTCATTAATAGGCCACAAGTCAATACACCAATAACGGGTATGAACAATGTCTTACTGGGGATTTTAAACCGTTTGATGTCACGATGTGTCCAATGCATTATAAATACTCCTACGTGAACCAACAAAAAGGCAAATAATGTACCAATTGATGTCATTTCAGCTAGAAAATCAATTGGAAGAAAACCAGCGAGTACAGCACAGATGGTACCTAGTATAAACAAGGTACATTATTAAAAAGCGATTTTGGATTCTGTAGTCTATATCTACCTATACATATTGGGGCAGCAAATGGTACACCCGGACCCGGCATTGGAGCCGGGTTTTGGTTTTGTCTTGGATGACGTACATGCCCAAAAATTTTTGGGAGTAAACCATCGTTTGACATTGTATACAATATTCTTGACTGTGCGAATAAATTACCCAATATCACTGATGTCAAACCACAAATAACTCCCACATCAACCATAATTTCAAGCCATCTTAAACCCATTGCTCGACAAACAACTGCTATTGGATCATCAGCCAGCTTATCGTACTTAACAACACCAACCAAAACCGAAACAAATCCAATATAGAGTAAAGTTGATATTCCCCACGACGTCACGATGCTAATTGGTAATTTATTTTGTGATTTTCTACTTGTTTCCTGTGCGGCTGTTGTTATAACATCAAAACCAATGAATGCAAAAAATACAACAGTCGTGCCATGAAATAGCCCTTCAACGCCGTACTTATATCCACCCTGATTTTTAGGAATGAATGGAAGATAATTTTTCGGATCAATATACTTGATTGCCGTGAAAATAAATATTAGTATTATAATAATCTTCGCCACAACAATAATACTATTAAATGTGGCTGATACATCAATATTATACACTAGTAAAGCTGCTAACGCTACCACAATAAGAATTGCTGGTAAATTAAAATATGCTCCAGTCAAATAAAAATTTTCTGATGTATTATTCCAAGCGATTGGTGCACTTAGAATTCGATATTCAGCACTGGTATTACCAATGAATTCAATAAAAGATGCTACATAAGTTGACCAACCAACACTGACGGCAGCAACAGCACATGTGTATTCCAAACACAGATTCCAGCCGATTAACCAGGCACAAAATTCACCCATTGTTGTGTAAATATAACTATAGGATGATCCAGCTATAGGTACCATCGATGCCATTTCAGCATACGATAAAGCTGCGAGAAAAGCTACAAGCGAACCAATTAAAAATGAAATAATCACCGATGGTCCAGCAAAATTTGCAGCTACATTACCACTTAAGATAAATATACCAGCACCTATATAAAATGCGAAATAATAGACATCTTTGTTGCGTCGCCAGTTTCCCAAAAGTTTTCTGTATATAATTCGAAGAGAAAAGGGCGTGTAAATTTAAACGATGCAATACGATATGTTTTATCCAAAAGTACCGAACTGTTCGATACAGGTAATGCGCTTTTCGTAGAAACATACTCTATTTGCATTACATACTTTGGTGCTGATCATGAATCTAATATTCATGTGTGCTCATAGTGCGTTCCTGGATGAATTTACAGAAATCGAATCTCCAGAGAACCAGGATGAGCTTTCAACAGGACACATCGAGAGAGTACATCGAGTTATCCACGCAGAAACACTTTCGAGAGTAACGGATGAGTTCCCTTGGAGTTATAAAACTTTCACTTTGTAATTTAGCGAAAAACCTGAGCTTTACTCTTCTTATTTTCTTTTATCAGTAAACTCACTCCAATATAGGAAAGAACAGCGAGGTTGATTTTTGCAGTTCGTCTGCAAAGATCAAGTTCGTGTGTTCGATCCTAGCTTCGTGCAAGGATTGATTATGTGCTTTGATAAGTTTAAGTTTCAGATGATATAATGGAAATTTATATTCTCCATTTCGCCCTGGTTCAAGATTACAGGCTTAAATCAAATTCATCCCAAAATCTTTTACCTTGGTTTTAATACGATAGTTGCCTATCTACAACTTACCAATAATTGCTCCTAATCCCAGTGTGTTCAAATGAAAAAAATTCAGTGGTCGATTAAGCGGATTTTCATTGATTTCAATTTGCATATCATCCACTGACTTGCGTAATGTTAATCGTTTCCATGCCTCTTCAATAAGCGATGGTGTTCTCTCCAAAACTTGCCCCATTTTTTCACCACAACAGCCCGATTCTTTCGTATTTCTTTAAACAGTTGGAAGCGACAGAGTATTGAATAAAAACTTTCAACTAAATAAATTAATTGTTGTCTGAAAGATGGGAATTCAAGATTGGAAAAAACCAACACATAGGTGTAGGTAATTGTGGGATCAACCGTAACATGACACTTGTTGTCTATCTCTCTTTCGTTCTTTATAGTACATATTTCTTAACTCAAAGATAATGTTAAAAAATGTCGGGGGCATGGTCCGCAAATTTAAATCTGCGATAGCAAGCAGATAGTAGAGTTCTTAGAAATGAAGCTCATACAGTGTCGGTAATCGACCAAAACGGCCATGAATGACCCTCAGAAACGATGCTATTGGTCAAAATATCATTTTCAACTTGATTGGATGAATTCGTCACTGGAGGAATACGAGAAAAAAGTTGTAGATAGTATCTATTTTGCACGGATAAAAAGAATCAGTCCGCTATTCTGTCTCTTGTCCTTGGTTTATTCATGTATATGTCTACAGGTAAATATCCTTTTCTCTTTCAAGTGACACAAGCACAACTGTCCCTCATGATGGTAAAAGAGAGTCGGTAATTTTCAACATACACAGATATTATGAATGAAATATCATTGTCAATAGGTTAATCCTTTCATTTAAACAGGTATTCTTACAAGGTACAGGCATCGTCGACATAATTTCCGTTCACACATAGCTGATACTCCGCACTTGAAGGAGATGATTCTGACGCTTCTAGGTAGAAAAGAAAGCACGCATAAAAATGAGAGACCTTATTCAATATTGAGATGGTTCTAGGTGAATGAAATAGGCTTAAGTTTGCTTGTTAAAAATGCCGTCTTATATATAAGACAGACCTTAGCCCATTTACTGTACAGAACTTATAGATTCTATCTCCTTTGCTTGTCGCTAAGGGCGATTTCACCTCAGAAACCATCTTCTGTTGCAAGGATTACCTATTATTCTGATACTGAAATATCGGTATAAACGTTAAGGGGGGTTTCTCCATTTGGATTTGGTTCAAACTTTACCAGATTGTAGAGGACACTTCAAAGTATAAATGAAAAAGTTTGGAGGTTTATGAACTTATAGTTTTCTAGAAAACAATTTTTATTTTTCGGTCGTTTTTACCCGTTTATTAAAATTTAAATAAAATTTTTACTTTGAACGGTTTTAACTTTTTGAAGGTTTTAGCTTGAAAGCTTAGTTTTGTAACTAATCGATAGAACGTCGTAATATCTATACATGAGGAGACTGGGATCATTCCCCGATTGCCGGAGAAATCTGGATTTGACCTTGAGAAGTTGTTTATCATGTTTGTTTTCGAGTATCAATTGTTTTGATCACCAAAAAATGAGACTTTTGATCATCGAATTAATTAAAGAAATCTAAATTAAAGAAAAATATTTACTAACTTAATAGAAAATTAATTAGTGGACAGTATTTAGAAGAAGAATATATATACAACAAGAAATATGAACAGAGCAGAAAAAACTAATCACCAAACCAATTAACGAAAATTTAAATTAACTTATAAATATGGGTATGTATAATTTTTGATCATCAAAAAAGATCGTTTTGATCACCAAATTTCTTTCTATCGAATGATCACCAAAAAATAACACTTTTGATCAACCAAATCAATTAAAGAAAATTTAAATTAAAGAAAACATACAAAAGAAGAAGATATAGCAATTAATTGGCAATGATTACCAATTAATGAGTAGACAGACAAGAAAAAGAATATAAAGAAAGTTTAATTTATTAACTGAACATGAAGAAATATTATATATACAAATAAATATATTAATGTTATATTTTTACAGTTACAATAGTGTGATTACATAGGCATGTACACACACAATGTACACAGACAATATAGTGTATATAACAATATAATAGATATGCGAGAATAAGTAAACAGCAAATTTAAATAAAAAGAAAAGGTATGACTATGAAAAACGTGTGCGCACAACTTTTCATGTTTGTTTAATGTAAATGACTAGATTGTTGGGGACCATCTTTATATACATTTTGTTTGTTTGTTAAAGGGGCGTTTTTTAAACCCTTGCAAAAAATTTTGAGTTAAACCTTGGTCGAATTTGTACTGTTATTAAAAAGAGTTGCGCATCCACCAGAGATACCTCCCATTACCTATAGACTAACATTTGTGTGTGTTTCTGAATAAGATTGAGCCGGTGGCAACTAACTCGACTTTTGACTAAATAATGCAAATATTACAATTAGCTCCCGCACCCCACCACTACACACACTTTTCTTTCTCGATGACCCTCCCTTGACGTACTTTATGTACGGCTGCTAAGAATTGCTGGTAAATTAAAATATGCTCCAGTCAAATAAAAATTTTCTGATGTATTATTCCAAGCGATTGGTGCACTTAGAATTCGATATTCAGCACTGGTATTACCAATGAATTCAATAAAAGATGCTACATAAGTTGACCAACCAACACTGACGGCAGCAACAGCACATGTGTATTCCAAACACAGATTCCAGCCGATTAACCAGGCACAAAATTCACCCATTGTTGTGTAAATATAACTATAGGATGATCCAGCTATAGGTACCATCGATGCCATTTCAGCATACGATAAAGCTGCGAGAAAAGCTACAAGCGAACCAATTAAAAATGAAATAATCACCGATGGTCCAGCAAAATTTGCAGCTACATTACCACTTAAGATAAATATACCAGCACCTATATAAAATGCGAAATAATAGACATCTTTGTTGCGTCGCCAGTTTCCCAAAAGTTTTCTGTATATAATTCGAAGAGAAAAGGGCGTGTAAATTTAAACGATGCAATACGATATGTTTTATCCAAAAGTACCGAACTGTTCGATACAGGTAATGCGCTTTTCGTAGAAACATACTCTATTTGCATTACATACTTTGGTGCTGATCATGAATCTAATATTCATGTGTGCTCATAGTGCGTTCCTGGATGAATTTACAGAAATCGAATCTCCAGAGAACCAGGATGAGCTTTCAACAGGACACATCGAGAGAGTACATCGAGTTATCCACGCAGAAACACTTTCGAGAGTAACGGATGAGTTCCCTTGGAGTTATAAAACTTTCACTTTGTAATTTAGCGAAAAACCTGAGCTTTACTCTTCTTATTTTCTTTTATCAGTAAACTCACTCCAATATAGGAAAGAACAGCGAGGTTGATTTTTGCAGTTCGTCTGCAAAGATCAAGTTCGTGTGTTCGATCCTAGCTTCGTGCAAGGATTGATTATGTGCTTTGATAAGTTTAAGTTTCAGATGATATAATGGAAATTTATATTCTCCATTTCGCCCTGGTTCAAGATTACAGGCTTAAATCAAATTCATCCCAAAATCTTTTACCTTGGTTTTAATACGATAGTTGCCTATCTACAACTTACCAATAATTGCTCCTAATCCCAGTGTGTTCAAATGAAAAAAATTCAGTGGTCGATTAAGCGGATTTTCATTGATTTCAATTTGCATATCATCCACTGACTTGCGTAATGTTAATCGTTTCCATGCCTCTTCAATAAGCGATGGTGTTCTCTCCAAAACTTGCCCCATTTTTTCACCACAACAGCCCGATTCTTTCGTATTTCTTTAAACAGTTGGAAGCGACAGAGTATTGAATAAAAACTTTCAACTAAATAAATTAATTGTTGTCTGAAAGATGGGAATTCAAGATTGGAAAAAACCAACACATAGGTGTAGGTAATTGTGGGATCAACCGTAACATGACACTTGTTGTCTATCTCTCTTTCGTTCTTTATAGTACATATTTCTTAACTCAAAGATAATGTTAAAAAATGTCGGGGGCATGGTCCGCAAATTTAAATCTGCGATAGCAAGCAGATAGTAGAGTTCTTAGAAATGAAGCTCATACAGTGTCGGTAATCGACCAAAACGGCCATGAATGACCCTCAGAAACGATGCTATTGGTCAAAATATCATTTTCAACTTGATTGGATGAATTCGTCACTGGAGGAATACGAGAAAAAAGTTGTAGATAGTATCTATTTTGCACGGATAAAAAGAATCAGTCCGCTATTCTGTCTCTTGTCCTTGGTTTATTCATGTATATGTCTACAGGTAAATATCCTTTTCTCTTTCAAGTGACACAAGCACAACTGTCCCTCATGATGGTAAAAGAGAGTCGGTAATTTTCAACATACACAGATATTATGAATGAAATATCATTGTCAATAGGTTAATCCTTTCATTTAAACAGGTATTCTTACAAGGTACAGGCATCGTCGACATAATTTCCGTTCACACATAGCTGATACTCCGCACTTGAAGGAGATGATTCTGACGCTTCTAGGTAGAAAAGAAAGCACGCATAAAAATGAGAGACCTTATTCAATATTGAGATGGTTCTAGGTGAATGAAATAGGCTTAAGTTTGCTTGTTAAAAATGCCGTCTTATATATAAGACAGACCTTAGCCCATTTACTGTACAGAACTTATAGATTCTATCTCCTTTGCTTGTCGCTAAGGGCGATTTCACCTCAGAAACCATCTTCTGTTGCAAGGATTACCTATTATTCTGATACTGAAATATCGGTATAAACGTTAAGGGGGGTTTCTCCATTTGGATTTGGTTCAAACTTTACCAGATTGTAGAGGACACTTCAAAGTATAAATGAAAAAGTTTGGAGGTTTATGAACTTATAGTTTTCTAGAAAACAATTTTTATTTTTCGGTCGTTTTTACCCGTTTATTAAAATTTAAATAAAATTTTTACTTTGAACGGTTTTAACTTTTTGAAGGTTTTAGCTTGAAAGCTTAGTTTTGTAACTAATCGATAGAACGTCGTAATATCTATACATGAGGAGACTGGGATCATTCCCCGATTGCCGGAGAAATCTGGATTTGACCTTGAGAAGTTGTTTATCATGTTTGTTTTCGAGTATCAATTGTTTTGATCACCAAAAAATGAGACTTTTGATCATCGAATTAATTAAAGAAATCTAAATTAAAGAAAAATATTTACTAACTTAATAGAAAATTAATTAGTGGACAGTATTTAGAAGAAGAATATATATACAACAAGAAATATGAACAGAGCAGAAAAAACTAATCACCAAACCAATTAACGAAAATTTAAATTAACTTATAAATATGGGTATGTATAATTTTTGATCATCAAAAAAGATCGTTTTGATCACCAAATTTCTTTCTATCGAATGATCACCAAAAAATAACACTTTTGATCAACCAAATCAATTAAAGAAAATTTAAATTAAAGAAAACATACAAAAGAAGAAGATATAGCAATTAATTGGCAATGATTACCAATTAATGAGTAGACAGACAAGAAAAAGAATATAAAGAAAGTTTAATTTATTAACTGAACATGAAGAAATATTATATATACAAATAAATATATTAATGTTATATTTTTGTAGCCAGTCATAAACTGCACATCAGTTCTATGCTGACTTTGCTGGTATGACCTAAGAACTTCAATTTTTTATCGTTTCACTGCTAGGATATTGTCGAGTGACTCACTCTCATCACTCGCCACATCCGCCACCACCTCTGTTGGTCAGGTTTATGCACTCTTATACATTGATTTTTTTTAAAAAGGTTTTCGAAAAATTCGAACATTTTACTCTTGTTCCCGAAATAAACATTCGAAATCTATCGTGCAACCATAACTGCAAGATTGTCGTTTTTGGTTCAAAAACATAACATTAACGATAAAATTTCTAAAAACTTCAACCGTTGAAATTAAACTTCTGCTCTGGTCATATTTTTGCTTGTATATACTTTCTTTATATTTTTTTCTTGTCTGTCTACTCATTAATTGGTAATCATTGCTAATTAATTGCTATCTCTTCTTCTTAAGTATATTTTCTTTAATTGATTTGGTGATCAAAACAATCTTTCTTGGTGATCAAAACACATTTTCCCCAAAAAATATACACACAAAAATACTCTTTTACCATCGTTTCTACTTTACCACTACTCTTTTACGATCATGAGGGAAACTTGTGCTTGTGTCACTTGAAAAAGGAAAGGATATTTACCTGTAGACATATACATGAATAAACCAAGGACAATCTAGACATGATCGTCACTGATTGCGGATTACTATCCGGCATGAAAACAAAACGGATACTTTCTATACTCACTGCATTTGAACGAATATTTTGTATGATCTTTTAAATCTGATCCACGATATTGGCAAACATTAAATTGTTTTGGTCGTACAGAACTCCAGCGCGCTATCGACGCGTAATGGACTGACATTTTTCGGCTTCCACTACGCTTTTCTGGTGAATAACAGCAGTTAAATGGCTCATTCTTGCGTCATTTTGTGCAGTTTAATGCAAAGCTTTTCCGATAAAAAGAACTCCATCTTTGCTTTGTTTGCTGATTTTTGCAAGCAAAAATCCACAATCGAATGAAAACGTTCCCGCTATACAAGCGGTAGCAAAGCACTTGCTCTATATGACGAAAAAAAAGAAAAACTTAAGTAACGCGCCTTAACAGACGAAATAAAAACGTAAGGGACTGATTTCTTTTCTAACATTTTATTGGCGAGATTTTTTCAATAGTGAAAGCATTAGCCAAGATCTAATTTGGACGATAGGATACAAAATCAAGCGTCCTCTATACAATGCGATCAAAATTGAAGTCAAGAAAAAATTTTAAGTTTGCATAAAATTGGTTGCAAAAAGAGTTGCATAACAAAACGCTTAAAACTCACAGAAAACATGTTAAGTCTGTACAAGGTTTTTCCCGAAGTCAGTCCTTCCTTCAGCAAAAAACAGTTGGCACATTTTGGATGTCAGAGTCAAGGGAAACCTGGGAACAATTCTATCATACGGCGAAAAGAGCTGTAATAATTTATTATGATAACTGTACCGTCTACCGAACAAGCGAACCGGAATTGTCGATCAAAACACATGACTTGACGGAAATATGCAACTTATTTGAGCAGAAAATAGTTTTATAGCTAGTATATTTAATATAATTGAAAAAATATTTTTGTAAAATTATTTTACATTGTATAATATAGTTTTGTGCGTTGACCATCTTACGATTTTAGTAAATATTACATACAATGCTCTACAGAACTAGCGGCCTCCGTGTAACTCAAGAATCATAATAACTAGAGACTTGTAATTCTGCGTGATCATAACTCTGGCCGAATGCGGATTATTCAGCAAGTTTAGCTTCTTTCACTGGGTGATTTGTGACATATAAGCATTTCATTTCTTCTCCGTAACATGATGGGATCTCCTGATTCGAGAACGCTGAAAATTTTTGTTTTCGTTAAAATGTAGTCCTCACTTTCATCTATCTAGAGTATAAGTTAAAAGTGTTAGCTCTTAATAATTACTGAACAACACCTACTTTCCGATCGGGGGTCACTGTTGAAATTTAAGGTCCTTTTCGACAAACTTCATAACTCAGTCTAAGAACATCACTTTGACTTCAGACTCGCACCAAATGTCCTATGATGTCTGTAGGCTATCAGGTCACCGTATCTAAGTCAAGTATTGTATGGCTATGAGTAGAAACTATTGGAACATGTATGGAGACACGAGCTTGGGGAACTGAAGGTTACCCTTTCCACTTGAATGCAGATTGAGGAAAAAGGCAAGTGGTACGTTGACCGAAATATTACACATTCATCTGTCTCCCAACGAGAAATCTTTCAAGAAAATGTTTGGTTCGAAAAAGCATTTTAAGTATTCCACTCGACACAGTTTGGTTTGCTGATTTCAAATATATTGTTAATTTTGCTTGAAAAATTATGGTTAGTGGAAAGGGTACAATATAAGTGAAATGATGGAGATGAGTATGTAAATTTCCCGTCGAAGTTTCATTTACATTTTTCCTCAATGGGTTTCCACGATCATATTTTTGCGATTTTCACTTTTAATTCATACTTTAGATAGACGAGAGTTAGAACTACATTTTGAAAAGAAAAAGTTTTCATCTTTCCTGAATCAGGAGTTATCAACATTTGACGAAAAGAAATGAAACGCTTATATCTCACAAATCCCCCAGTGAAAGAGGCTAAACTTGCTGGGTAATCCGCATTCGGCCAGAGCTGTGGTGATGTAAAATTAGAAGTGTCTAACTATCGTAGTTCTTGAGTTATAGAGAGGCCGCTGTGTTTGTGGACAAGTCCATTCACGTAAAAGGTTACTCAAGTCATCAACTATAAAAGATTTTTTGTTTTCACGCTGAACACCAGTAACAACCTTAAAACAGACCAATTTATTTTTAAAGGAGATAATTTTAATTTAAACTTTTAAATCGTTTAATCCGTGTTTTTCCTCAGTTACTTAATTCAGTTTAAGACACAATCCAATATGTCCGAACATGGAAACTCAAAGTCTCTACAAAATGTGCCAACTGTTTTTTGCTGAAGGAAGGACTGACTTCGGGAAAAACCTTGTACAGACTTAACATGTTTTCTGTGAGTTTT